CCTCGGACAGGCCCCGCGGTCCGGGCGGCCGTTCACGGCTCCCTGTGCTTTCCTCTCAGCGCCCGAAGACCTCTCCTTAGAAGAGCGGGAAGAGCTCCTAGACATCCGTCGAAGGAAAAAGGAACTTATTGATGACATCGAGGTAAAAATAAATCTTCTCGTTTTTGCTCATAGTAAATCACGTAGCTTCATGAACATGTGAACACTGGGTACCTAGTGTGTCCGTATCGGGGCCACACAGGACGGAGCAGAGAGCCTCCAGGTGGGGGAGCAGCCCTGCTCACCCGCAGACACCCCCCACACACACCCCACGGGAGCAGCAGGAAGTGACACCTGGCGCCAGGGTCCCCAAAGTCTTTTCTAGCGCTCGCTGCCTTGGCTCAGTGGATAGAGCGTCAGCCTGTAGACTGAAGGCTCCCAGGTTTGATTCCCGTGTCTCTCTCACATGGATGTTTCTCTCTCTCCCTCTCTCTCTCTCTCTCTCTGTGTGTCTCCCTCTCTCTTCCACTTTGTCTGAAAATCAATGGAAAAACATCCTCAGGTGAGGATTATCAACAACAGAAAGTCTGTTTAAACAGCGCAGCCACCTGCAGGCGCATTGCTCTCCAAATCGGCGGTGAGGCCGTTTCACGGGGCGCAGCCCAGCACCTAGCGCGCTGCCTGCCAATTCTGGGCCCCGGCACCTTTTGCGGGAGTGCACCCCTCTGGGTTCTAGCTGTGCACAGTGCCTGCCCGCTGTGCGAGCAGCATGACAAGAAAACACGCAGATAAACCGTGTCCCCCCACACTGTCCTCGGGGCAGGGCAGGGGCAGCCTCAGGAGCAGCGAGGGTGAGCTGCAGCCATTGCAAAAGTTATTCAGAAGAGGCTCGCTGCTGCCCTCGGGCCGCCCCGGAGTCAGGGGGCGTGGAGCTCCTTTGCGGAGCCTCCCTCGCTGCCAGGCCAAAGAAATGCGGCCTCGAGGCCCTGGCCGCCAGCAGGCCGGCCCAGAAGCCCCTCCCTCCCTCCCGGAGCCCTCAGGTCGGTCTGAGGGTCGTGCGCACAGCCTGGAAGGGATCCTAAAGCTGTCCTGTGCCGGACGGAAACTCCGGGGGCTTTTTCTTCCGCGGTGACCCTCCATCCTTGGAGACACAGGCCCCAGCAGAGGCGCTGCGGCTGCAGAGTGCGGCCGTTTGAAGGTGAATGTGTGGCCGTTACAACGCTGGTGCCTGTGGGGTCTAGTGGAGCTCTCACCACCGGGTTTTGAGTTGAGGGTGCTGAGGCCTGGGAGGTTAAGAGGGTGACGAAGGTCTCTCGGTCAGTAGGTGGTGGGGCCACGTGGAGGGACAGGGAGTGTCCCTTCTGGTGTCCTCGGCGTGTCTGAGGGCCACGGGCAAGCTCTGTTGTCACCCCCGGCTCTGTCCATGGTGCTTCGTCTCAGGCAAAGCCATGGAAAGTGATGGGTCAGCCTCAGACTGGGCGGGGGGAGGGGGTCCCCCCCACACACACACACTTCCTGGCTGCAGGGGGAAGGAGAAGGCAGGTGGCATGTGAGCTGACGTTTCATGGCTGCAGCAAGTGACCCAATATCATTGCTCTCCTCTTGCTGTTCTGTCATTTACACCTGTGATGTCCTCCCCAGTGTCCCTTCTTTTTTATTGATTTTAGAGAGAGGGCAAGGGAGAGAGAGAGAGAGAAACATCCATGATGAGAGAGAATCATGGATCGGCTGCTTCCTGCACACGCACCACTGTGAGTGAGCCTGCAACCTGGCATGTGCCCTGACCGGAATTGAATCGTGACCCCCTGGTTCGTGGGTCAATGCCCAACCCCTGAGCCACGCCGCCGGGCCCCAGTGTCCCGTCCTGATGTCACCCACGAACACTGAGAACCCACCTAGCGACGAGCGGCTGGGCGCAGTGCCTCTTTCTCCTGCGTTGGGGCGGCGTGTCCGTCAGTAGTGCTTGTCCACCCGGCGCCCAGGGGAGGGGGAAGCAGCGCTTGAGGCCGCATTCCTGAGGCCAGGAGAGGAAGGGCAGGGTCCACCCCTGCCCCCACACCCACCCACCTCCCAATCCTGCCTCTTGCAGAGACTGAAGTACGAAATCGCCGAGGTCATGACCGAGATCGACAACCTGACATCCGTGGAGGAGAGGTAAGCGGCCTCGGGTGGGTAGGGGGTGGGACCGGGCCCTCAGTTCTCCCCGCCTGGGAGCAGCGGGACCTTCGTGTGGCGGGACGTGCTGCTTCAAGGCGCTGCCTCGCACAGTGGCGATCCCTGAAGGCGTCAGGTGGAAGCAGGGGCCCTGGCAGCCGCCCCGGCTGCTGCCACCTCCTGGGCAGGCTTTGGGGGCTGGGGGCTGCAGCGCTGAGTGCAGTGTCCACTCACCGTGTCCTGATGTTTCCACGCACAGCAAAACGTCTCAGAGGAACAAGCACATCGCCATGGGAAGGAAGAAGTTCAACATGGACCCCAAGAAGGTAAGAGCGTGTCCGTGTCTGGCTGCGAGACGCTGACGGCCTGGCTGAAAGGCGCCTCGCTCTTGGGGAAAGGTGGCCATTCCACCTCTTAAACGACAGACTCGGTGTCAGTGTTTATTGAGGGAAAGGCTGCCAGTGAACAGGGAGGACAAAAGCGCCCTTTGAACTGGTCCCAGCACCGGAAGGCCTTTCCACGGAGGTTCTGAGCGAGGATGGGTCTCCGAGAGCCGGGCCCCCTGCCCCTGGGGGCGCCAGGCCGGGCGCGAGGCTCAGGCAGAGGGGATCCTGCGGGCAGAGCAGCCGACACTGGTCTGGGGGCACTAGGTGGTTCAAGTGCAAGGATGCTCTTCCTTTCTTCGCCTTCAGTCCCTGGGAAAGACCCAGGCTCTGCCCAGACTGCAGCCAGGGCCTTGGTCTCTCCCCAAAGTGGATTTCCTACAAAAACACCCCAACATCATGGCACCGGCCACGTGTCGCTGCTTGTCCGAGCTCGAGCTAAAGGGCTGAGCAGAACCGTGAAGCCTGGAGCACGTGGCTCAGAGGACAGTGGGCCTCCGGCGACGGCAGACTCCGAGCTGGCTCCTCCCGTGCCTCGCTGGACTGTAGACGGCACTGGCTTTTCACATCTGTGTGCGTGTGCATGTGTGTGTGTGCGCGCGCGTGCGTCTGGCGGGTGTGTGCGTGTGGCGTGCGTGTGCGTGTGCGTGTGCGTGTGTGTGTGTGTGTGTGTGATGGAGTCTCTGTTCTCACTGGTTAAGGATTTGTTCATTCAATAAGTGGTTGCTGGTTGCGCGGTCCGACCTGTAGACGTGCGCTCGCAGGTGCAGGCGCAGTTGCCGGCGTCACAGAGAGAAACGCGTGTCTCTGTTGCGCCCGTGGGTGCAGATGCCGGCCCTTCAGGTCCAGCCTGTGTGCAGCCGGTGTGTTCCCGCCACTGTCCGGCCCCACGGTCAGTGGGAGCGAGTGCACTTGGTCACGATGTGACACTGGGGTCAGGAACGGGTTTTCCTTCCTGAGAAGCTGAGTTTACAGAGTTGAGTTGTGAGCCGGTGGCGTGAGCTCCCAGGAGAGAGGCCCTTTAACAAGCGGATGCTGCAAAAACTGGGCCTTGCGCTTCAAAGAGCAGCACAGGTCGCTCCCCAATAAGTTCACGGATGAGTTCACATGTTTTCTTTTTAAATTTTATTTCAGAGAGGAAGGGAGAGGGAGAGAGAGAGGGAAACATCAGTGATGAGGGAGAAGCATCCATTGGCCGCCTCCTGCACACCCCTTACTGAGGATCGAGCCTGCAACCCGGGCATGTGCCCTGACCGGGAATTGAACTGTGACCTCCTGGTTCCTAGGTCGGTGCTTAACCCCTGAGCCACACCACATGCTCGTGAAACGCATGTGGACACACACGTGTAGGCGGGGCTAGGGCTCCACACAGCTCCTCGCTGTCGGACTCGCCGTCTTACTTTCCAGACACTGTGTGTCCAGGTAGCAGTGATCAGGGTTAATGTTTATGGAGACCTGTGCGAAGGAGGCACTTTAATTAATGTGCACAGCCCTTCACAACAATCAGCTGAGGTAGGCTCCATTTTATTTCCCGCTTCACTGCTGGGGAAACCGAGGCACAGAGCAGCCAGGGAGCCGGCCCAGGGTCCTGAGCCGGAGCCGGAGCCGGAGTCACTGCCCCTCGGAGTGGGCAGGGGGCCGAGGGTACGGGCGTCCC